TAAAATTATTAAGCATAAGTATTAAAAAAATATAAAAAACAATTTCAACTGAAAGAAAACAACTAGTAGAAAAACTGAGAATGAACGGTTAGTCGACAAGTCGATTGTGAGCAGTTAGTTGAAAAAGTCAACAGGAAGCGGTTAAAAATTACTTGTTTTATAAAAGTTGCGTTCCCTTACTCGCAAGAAGTTGCAAGAATTTACAGGATTTTACCAGAAAGCGTTCCCGTACTCGGTTCTCTGGCTTCTTTTGCTTTGTGACAGTTTTACAGGTTTCAACCCAGAAAAGTTGGGGAACGCAACTAAAATCTCTGCATTTTAATTGTTCAACTTCTTCTGCATCAGACCAGCTGTCAAAAATTTGCAGCAGTAAAAAGTTACGAATTGGCAGAGCAGAAATGTAAAATTTTCTCACAATAGAAAACAAATTTTCACCATACAACTTTTCTACTGATTGGCACAGGCCCTAAAGTAATCTGCAACACAAATCGACATTTCAGAACTCCTGGAGTCAAAATACACATTTATCGCAGAGGAAAGAAATCTTTTTAGATGTTGCCACTAATTACATGCCCCATCAAATCCACTTAATTAATACTTCCCTTACTTTGATCGGACCATGTTAAACAGCGGGCCTACACTAAGGTCGAGGCCACGCAATGAGCGGCGCAATACAAAAATACCGCTCAGCCGCTCATGTAAAGCCGCTCAGTGCGTGGCCACTTCAATAGTATTTCATAAGTTTTAATTTTAAGCCGCTCACCGCTTTACCGCTCATTGCGTGGCCTCGGCCTAAGTTTACCTTGGCGGCAACGCTTGAAGGGCCAGCTTATCTAGGCGGGTCAGTAACGGCTACAACAACAACAACAACAACAATTCCCATTCGTATTCTAGACTAACAAAAAGGGAAACGCCCCATCTAACATTTTTGTTTCATTTCGGAGTGATTAAAAAACTTAATAGAAAATCAAGTTATCGCCAAGAAATCTTATTTTTTCTCTACCATCACCATCAGGTACCGTATTAAACACTTTCAAGATTTAAGCGTTCGCACAAATTCGAACGGCATGGATTTGCTACGCCTCCGAGACTCGCTGTTGGCTGGGGCGCTTGTGATCAACAATATGCTTTTCAGGCCCTTTTTAAAAATCAGCAGGACGTCATATTAGAATAAGAAGTGTGGAAAAAGGGGCACGCCCCCAAGTCTACGCCCATCCTGTTTTACGAAAGAATCTAAAATGGTGAAGGAATATAAGCTGCTGCATTCTGTCCGAAATAAGTCTCAAAGCCGTAAATAATTTTCTTTTATCAAAAACCTGGGCAAATTTTTTACTGGGAAATACAACAGTCAGCTAGCACTCCCTCAGTTAATTTTCTAAGGACTCAACTCGCTTCTAACACTTCCAAGGCTGGATGTGCAAGATGCTAGATCTAATAAGACACTGTATCACGCCATCCCACTTGTTCAAGTTAGGACAGGAAGGTAAATGTCTCGATTTAGCCATTTTGGCTCTGCTTTCTTGCCAAAGATTGCACAGTGACTTACTCAAAAACCTCAATAATTCGTTACAATCCGTTGAAAAAATCGCGTTAATTTGCAAAATGTCCATACATAAAGTCATACATATCGATTAAAACTAGAACTAAAGATGTATTTATTCGTAAATTTAATTTTAAATACGATCGCGATATTTCATCTTTTAAAATTGATGTAGCTTCCGAAGATTTTGATTCACTACTAAATAGTTCATTTTGGCCGACCGGGGCGTTTGTTCGCGAGTATAAACCTAATAAAAGTAATAATAACGTAGCTAAAATTTCTAATCTTAATTCGGATTCAAAAAACTAACTCGCAAGTCTAATTTAAGTATTTACTATCAAAACGTTAGAGGTTTGAATACCAAAT